CCATGCCAACTCTAACTCCTTGAGATCTTTCTTGTCCTTCAAATTGGCTTGCAATGCATCCCTAGCATCAACTACATTTTGTAGCTTCAAAATTGCAAGTTTTCCTTGAAGCTGCGGGAACTCCCTCAGTTCTCCTTTGCTTGACCCAGCAGATCTGCCCACAACAAAAGCAGTCAATTGTCTCAAACTTTTCAGTCTTCCCATTTGCACCGGCATCTCTTCAATTTTAGTTCCACTGACATCAAGATGATGCAAATTAATCAACTCCCCTATTCCTGCAGGTAATTTAGTAAGAGAGCTACAACTTGCCAACGTTAATTTTTGCAAATTAATCAATTTTCTGATATTTGCAGGCAATTCAAGGAGAGAGGAACAATTTGACAATAGTAACGTCTGCAAGTTGTAGAGATTGCAAAGTACCCCAGGTAACCTTTCAATTGTGGTATGGGAAAGATCCAAGTAGCGCAATTGAATGAGGTTTCCAATAGAATCAGGTAACTCAGTGACATTTTGATAACGTGACAATGATAGCACCCGTAAACATCTTAGTGATGGCAGCAAATGTTGTAGAACCTTTTTACTTACATAAAATTCTTCACGATATTTATTTGTTTTTAAAGAGGTAGGTAGGAAGGTCCTCAAACACTTAGCCCCATATAATGGCTCAAATTTTTGAGCAACATCAAATTCTCCCCTAGCATATGACAAATGACGAGCTCTTTTAACTTCACGTGATTCCACCCCTTCCAGCCTAAGGCAAAACCCCCTAGAGATGAACATAGCCAAGTCATGAATGAGGTCATGCATTGTGAAACCGAATTCTCTTGACTTTTGAAACAGCGACCGGGATAATAGCTCATCAAAGTATTTTCTAGCCACAGATTCCATAATCTTCCCATTATCAGTTTGTGTAACTAAGCCTTCTGCCATCCATAATTGAACTACATCTTCCTTTTCAAACTCATAATCCTTTGGAAAAACTGAACAATAAACAAAACATCGTTTTAACTGAGCAGGGAGATACTGATAACTCAACCATAGAGCCGGAAGAATGTCAGTTGTACCATAGGGTAGGTACCAAATATTACTATTTAGTATTCTATTCCACTCCTCGGAATCTATATTGCAACGTAACAAACCCCCGAGTGTTTGTGCAGCTAAAGGCAACCCTTTGCACTTGAGTGCAATTTGCTTGCCAATGTCTTCCAAGTTTGAATTTGCACTATAGTTTTCATTTCCAAAAGCATGTTTAGCAGGTAACAACCAGCAGTCTTGATGCGACAATGGTTCCAAGAATTGAATGGGAACATTTTTCATTAAAGATGCTACATTTTTGTTCCGTGTTGTTACTATGACTTTACTTCCCCTTGCCCCTGAATTAAAAGGAGTCTGGAGGCGCTCGTCTTCCAAGTTTGAATTTGCACTATAGTTTTCATTTCCAAAAGCATGTTTAGCAAGTAACAACCAGCAGTCTTGATGTGACAATGGTTCCAAGAATTGAATGGGAACATTTTTCATTAAAGATGCTACATGTTTGTTCCGTGTTGTTACTATGACTTTGCTTCCCCTTGCCCCTGAATTAAAAGGAGTTTGGAGGCGCGACCAATCACCATAATTTTCATTCCATAGATCATCCAACACAAATAAAAATTTCTTTCCCCTCAACTGTTCTCTTAATTCAACTTGGAGCAAATTCAGATCTGTCGTATTACAAGGCTTTGAAGTGACTGACTCAAGAATAGTTTTAGTTATTCTAACAGCATTATAGTCTTCTGAAACACAAGCCCAAGCTTGGAGTGTAAAATGCCCTTTGACCTTATTGTTGTTGTAAAGCATTCGAGCAAGGGTTGTCTTGCCAACCCCACCCATTCCAACAATGGTGAGGACAGACACATCATCCTTGCTTGCATCATCAGATAGCAACACTTTTGATAAATTTTCTTGGACTTCATCTCTACCATATACACAAGGTTCATGAACCAAGGAAGTTGTTGGAGTTCTTTGTGAAACCTTCCTCCCAGCACCTTCCCTCAGACCAAGAGCACTTTTCTGTTGTACAAAGTTTTCTAATCTTGCAAATAACTCTTGTATCTTAACATTCATGCTCTGATAAAAATGATTACGAGAAGAAGAGAGGAAGTTCCACACCTGGTTGGTTAATTTGTGGGTTTGATCATCACCTTCCAGCTTGCATCGCAAAGCTTCAGTGTCGATCTCATCCAGTAAGTCCTCTGCATCAAAGACAGCATGCTTGAGCTCGTTAAGCCACTCTCTCACAGCAGGGTTCACAATTTGCTTCTCCTCTGCATCATTGAGCACCACGAACAAAGTCAACAGTGTCGTCTTCAAGTTCATGAGGAGTGGTTCGTTGAGTTTCTTCTGTCGAAATAAGTCGATGAACTCGGCTGAAGTAATTCTGTCACACAGCACCTCGATAGAAGCAGAGATTAGAGCCTCTCCGATCAAAGCTGCTGCCATTTTTCTCTGCTTTGCGAGGAATTTGGATGAAGTAATATTCCAAGGTTTGCAGAACTTGGAAATACAGGTTCGTAAGGAAGTATGAAAGCTTTTTGAGATTGTAAATAAAATGAACTGGTATTTAGCCTGTAAATAAGCTTTGAAAACTCTCTCACTTAGCAGGACTACTGTGCTTTGTGCACTCAAATCGTGGAACTGTGGCCACCGATGTTAATATGCAAAGTTGGATGCCAAAATATTGCGTACACTGGCCAAAATGGTGCAAGATGCTATCAACTTTTTTCCTTTTTATTTTTGGTCGGACAAAGATGCTATCAACTATCACCAGCAAATTCCAATTTTGAATATTTACAGATGTCATTGTTTGATTGGGTTGGGATTCTTATCTAAGATGCTGACCCATCCCTGGTTAGTACATGGGAAGAAGGGCAGATGAAGAAAGTTGCTAAGAAAGGTGGAGAAGTTGCTAGCTGTAGGATCAACTTAGCAATAGCACAACAAAGCATAAAATGAAAAGGAAAAGAGAGAAACAAAAAAAAAGAGGGAACATGTCAATCTGAGCCAATTTTATTGTAAGAATATCAGAACCTATAATATTATTTTTTATTGTAAGAATATTAGAACCTATAATATTCTTTTTTATTGTAAGAATATTAGAACCTATAATATTCTTTTTTTTTGGTTACATTGGAGGAAAGAAACCCCACTGGGGTTCGATCCTGGGTGCCACGGGGGGAAGGGGGAATCCACCACCACTGTGGTGGGAACCCATTGGCAAACCTATAATATTCTTTAACACAATAAATGTTATGGTGAAACCTATACTAGTGACCCTAAACGAAACACTATTTTGAGTGAACAACGTTACATTGTGAATTTGTGAGTGTTTTTTTTTTTTTTTTTGTTGGTGTTTTTGTGGCTTTACGGTTTTAGTCTCGTTAACCAAATCTTTGGCATCAACATGTTATGTACTTCGTTCTTTCATCTTATAAATGTAACTATCTCTTTGCCACACGCATTAACGATGCGTGTGCCAATTGGATTTTTTTTGGTTCTTATTTTGTTATTTTATATTATTAAAAACTGAGTTTATAACTTTTTAAATAAAATATATCCAAAATAGTGTAAAGTTTTGAAAGTGGTTATCTCTTAGTTTTATGAGCAACTTTTCTTGTGTTTTTATTTATTTATTTCAATTTAAACAGATTGTGAATGTAATATTTTATCTTAATTAATGAATTGCATTCTCCTTTAACATTTTCATTAATTAACTATGACAATGTGTGGGATTTTGAATGTTTTAACTTTTTTTAAAATTATGTGTATTATTATTTGCAGATTTCTTTCTTTTCCCCTAAGTCCTCCGCAGCCAAGACATCATGTCTGAGATTGTCAAGCCAGTTTCTCACAAAAGGTTCCTCAATTTGCTTCTCCTCTGCATCATTAAGCACTACGGACAAGGTCAACAGTGTCGTCTTCAGTTTGTTGAGGAGTTGTTCATCGAGCTTTTTCTGCCGAAATAAGTCGGTGAACTCAGGCGAAGCAATTTTGTCACACAACGTCTGGATGGTAGCAGAGATGAGGGCCTCTCCGATCAAAGCCATATCTTTCTCTTCTCTGCAAGGGGATTTGGATGAAGTAATATTCCAAGGTTTGCAAATAGCTAGCACAACTAGGAAACACAGGGTAAACGAAGTATGAAAGCTGTCGTTGGAGATAAAATATCCAGTTTCGTTTTCAAAACTTTTCTGTAGCCTCACATGGGGATGGGGTCGTATATGCAAAGTTGGATTCAATAATATTGTGGACGTACAGCTTAATAGCTTTTGAGAAATTGTCTGTGAACATCTTCAAAAGGGGCCAAAGTGGTACAAGATGCTATCAACTTTTTTCTTTTATTTGTTAGAATATCAAAAGTATAAATATAAAATGCTTTCACAAATCAAATGTTATTGTGAAAGCAAATACAAATGACTCTATACATAGCTTCGTTTTGAAATATCATGTTTCGTTTTGGAAACACTTCTGTAGCCTCACATGGGGATATGGGGTCGTATATGCAAAATAATATTAGTTTAGCTTCACACTCACACACTAGCTTTTGAGAAATTGTCGGTGGACTTCTTCAAATTGTTTGGACCCACATTGGCAAAAATGGTACAAGATGCTATCAACTTTTTCTTCCTTTTATGTATAAGGCAAAACGTCATTTTTGTTTTTGTAGTTTACCATTTTTATCATTAAAATGAGGTTTCAATTTGGTGTTTTTGCCTATGTGGTCTTCAATTCCAAGTAATTTAAGGATATTTTTTAATTTCTGTCAAATTCTTCAAACTATCATTATTTCTTGAGAGGCATTTCAGTCCACAAATAAGTAAAAAAATTCATTTATTTTAAAAATTTACCAGAGACCAAAAGCGACGTTTTGTGCGTTTTCAAAAGGAGGACTTTAGTGCTCATAGATCTAAGCAGTGAACATTATATATTTTCATTTTTTTATTTTTCAGTTAGGTCGGATCAATAATGCAATGAAAAACTTAGCAATTGTCTATGTTCTTTGTGTGTGTTTGTATGGTTTTACCCTTGTTGCCCATACTTTTCACATCAAACCAACAAATGGTATAGTACTCATGCTTGGAGTCATCTCATTTGTGCAAATATGTGTGAACACAAGTAGCAATTGTCCGTGTTCTTTGTGTGTTTTGGGGAACTTTATGGCTTTATCCTCGCTAACCAAACTTTTCTCATCAAACCAACAAATGGTATGGTTACTAGTATCAGATATTCATGCTTGAAACACACAAATTGCAAATTGCAGTTTGCTTCGATCTCTTTAAAGAGAGCGAGATATTCAGCTAATGAGCAGCTGTATGTCTTGTGAGATTCCACCTTCGATTAATTACTAGGGAGATGTCCGAGCCAAGTCACCACCTTTCAACCACCAAGGAAACAAAACCAGCATTCCTAAGAAACTCCAAGTGCCAACAAGTAATCTTTATTAGATAAAGCTGTTAAACGTGGCATGCTTTCCTTATCTATACTTTCCTCCACTGAAGTTTGTCTTCCACTCAAGCCTTAGTCAATTCTTCCACTCAAGCCTGTCCTCCACTAAAGTATTAATTAATTTGTTACTTTATGTAAAATCAGTTATAGCAGCAGCTGTATATAATTGGGTTCACATCTTTTGTCCCCATTGTCTCCGTATCCTCGTTGTCTCTGACCTAAAATCTTGACATCTGTTATCTCAGAAAAAATATATATATTGATATTTGTCCATTCACTTAACATCAATATTCCGTTTAGATGACAGAATTGAAAATTACATAGAATTTTAAAATGACGGAATTCAAATTGTCATAATTTCAATTTCTAGCAATTGAAGATTTCAGTGTTTGGATTTATGTATGCCAAATTTTATAAATAGCACTATGAAAATTGTGAAATTATGCATATTTTAGTGGAAATTAAACTCGGAAATTTGATGCTCTAGTTTTTACGATTTTTTCCTCGCGTCATTTAATAAATTCCGCGCTTAAGTTGTGTTCACCCATTTTGATTTGTTTCCTGTGATGGTAGGGTAAAGTTCCCCATTTTCCTGAAAACCATTGACTGGTCAACAAGTCAACTTTCTTTAATGTGCGAGCGTGCCACTGCTAGCAATGAAAACCCTAGCAGACTTTTTAAAAAAATAAATAACTTGCGCCCCAAGTTACTGATTTTTGAACAAGCGATTGTGAATTTGGGTGAGGAATATCTCCCAAGCAAGTTCTTTTCTATGCCTTAGACTGGTCAGGACTTCATAATTTTTTACAGTATAAAACTGGTAGTTCTTGCCAGAATAAATGACAACAGAGTGAACCGCTTTCAGGCAGAACTCCCCTTTACAAAGCTCAAAAAGGGAAAACTGACTATAAAAAGACAAAAAGAGGGCTGTGCTTCCATTTTTGTCTGGGTACACGCCTCTGTTCTGGGCTGGACTGGGTATGCCTGTGCTGGACTGGACTTTCAACAACTTCAACTTCTAGGCTTCAGCTGCAAATCGATACCAAAGCTTGAGTTTGGCAGGGGAGAGGAAGATGCTCTCAATTTTATTTTATTTTTCATCTTTATTTGATCATCCCTTGTTCTTCCACTTCAGCCCCACTATTACACCATTTTTTCAGCCACAATTATAATAGCTCCATGAGCATTAAGTCCTTCTGAAATTCTGCTAACATTCAAAATTGGAATTTGCTGGTGATATATAATAGCATCTTTGGAGCAAGCACCATATTAACTCATTAACAGCATATACAATATATAATACATTTTATAAATAAATAAAAAATTCTCTCATTTACATGTTCAAGTTTCTACATAAATCAAATTTCTCAAGAATAAAATACTAAATACCTGATTTTCTCGAACTTGAAGCGTGGCACCCTTTGTTTCAAATAATTGCAGAACCCACCGCTTAAGAAAAGAAAGCATACCATTTCTCTTTATCAAATCAGCTCACAGAAAATGGTTGTTTTGTATCACTTGACGCCTCTCTCTCCACTTGCCCAAGATCGACAAACTATAAAAATAAAAATAAAAATAATGAGCAATTTAAGG